AAATGACCAAAATGCCCTTCAGGCCAACACCTCGGAATCGAATAATTTTCATATTTCCAGAACCCTCGTACTCTCACGAGTCTAACCATATAAAAATCTCCCAAATCGTACTCAAACTCTGTAAAACTCTCTCTCCTCTCTCTTTTTTCTCTCTCTAGGTCGTTTCTCACGTAGAAGGCAGCCATGGCTGCTGCAACCTCTCCCCAGCCTTTGGCTGTGGGAGAGGCAACTCATAACACTCAAGAAACAGCTCCAAACATTAAGCCAAAACAGTCGTATGCTGCACTGATGCAACAAACCAAATCTGCGGCAGCTTCGTCAAAACTGGATTTAATTCCAGTTCATATGATCCATGGAGAACCAACTGTAGAATTCACAGTTGAAGATGTGAACAAGTTAACCATCGAAGAAGGACTGCATCAGGCAGTAATCCTCAAATTTTCTTACGGTAAACCTGATATCCAAGAGTTACGACAGCTTATACCAAAATAATTCGACGTCAAAGGTAATTGCAACGTTGGACAGCTAGAATATCGGCATATCCTGGTAAGATTCGATCTCTTTGAAGATTTTGTTCAGGTGTTGTAAAGAACAACTGGTTATGTTAAGGCAAAAGGAGACGAATTTTTCTATAGGACTTTTCCATGGACAATAGGTTTTAACCCTCGAGAAGAAACTTCAAAAGCTGTGGTTTGGATATCTTGCCAGAGTTGCCTGCAAATTTTTTTGCAAAGAAATCTTTATTATCTATAGCTTCAGCAGTAGGGAAGCCTCTTGCTGTAGACAAAGCGACTCAAGATCGAACATGACCAAGCACGGCAAGAGTTAAAGTTTTGATCGATCTATTGGACAAACATCCTAAGAGAATTAGGATTAATATCGTGGACGTGAACTCTGGAAGAATAGTTGAACATTACCAGAAGGTAGTTTTTGATAATCTACCAAAATATTGTAATTGTTGCAAACACCAAGGACATGATGAAAAATCATGTCGTTGGAGGATTGAGGAAAATAATGAAGAAGCAGACCAGGGGAAAGAAGTTGAAGGCCTGGGAGTTTTGGACAAATTGCAGGGTGATGCAAAGGACTATCTCAATGCAAAAAGAACTAGGCAACTAGAAGAGGAAGCAGCAAAAGCAAGTCTGGGTGAGCAGCATGCTTCACAAATCGAAGGAGGAAAACAGGATGTGAATAAAAACAATGTGAATCTTGTTAATCGAGCAGCTATGGATAACATAGCAGGTGATGTTTCTAAGTTGGATAAGGGTCCACCTCCACCCTCTCGTGATGTGCCTGCTAGGATAGCTTTAGCAAGGATTTCTAATGCAATGAATCCAATTGTGCAAGCTTATGATAAACTTGCGAGTGCTGCAACTATTTTGTCTACAGGTGCAGGTTCAAAGGGTGTTGTTGATCCTAAGAAAAGTCCTATTGATCCTAATATGAAGGTGGTAAGTCAGGAGGTGCAACAAGTTGGAGGAAACACAGTAGTAGAATTTTCAACTGCCACAGTTTCAAATAGTGGTCATGCTGTGATTGATACACAAGCAGTTGATCGAGATGTTGAGACTGCTCGAGTAATTACTAAGGCAGGTGGAGATCGAGCTGAGCATATTCCACAAACGTTTGATGTAAAGGATGCAGGAGTTGAGCTGGAAAAAAATCCAATGCAAACCCCTGATAATGTAGCTGCTGCCCAGATTTTAGACAAAGAAAAAGTGGGGAATAAGAGTGCGAGGATTGACAATAATAATGGGAGAGTAGTTGCAGATGGTAAAGGGGATGATCTGAACAAAAAGGGAGGAGTTTGGAATGTGGTAACAAGTCAAAAATCACCTACAAAGAGAGGGGGTTCACCAAAATCACAGAATCCAGGTGTTCGACCAATTGCCTCTAACTTTGGTACCAGCTCAAACTCCTTCGATGTTCTTGCTACTGCTGGGGATATTGAAGCTGATGCAACTGGATTGAAGGATAACCTGATATCCAATCAAATTGTTCCAATGGACAGTAGTGAAAGAGGAAGGAAAGACAGTGTCGAAGTAGCACAAAATCTGGGTGCTCAACTAAATGACCCAAAGAGTCAGACGGGGAATGAATTAATTGGCACCCTAGCTCACAGCTCCAATGCACCAATTCTGCAGTTTCTAATCCTAATGTAGAACAAATCATCAAGGATTCTCAAAAGGAAATGATGATGATAATCCCATGGTTAAGCAGCCTTTGGTCACCTTGAATACATCCGTATTTGACGTTCCTTCGCAATCAAGGGAATCTTATGGAGAATTTGAAGGAGAAAGTGGGCAATTTATGGTTTCAACTGGGAATAACAATGAAGTAATATAGGCAAACGTGAGGTTGATGTCTATTAAATCCAAGTTGTGGCAAGATCAATGCGAGGAAGATGATGAAGAGGACTGGGGTGATGGATTTGCAGGGTATTCATCTAAAGAAGGTGAGCAGAAAGTTAATCAGGAGAGTGCAGGCGAGGAAATTGATCCTCCAGTACAGTCAAAGATTCATGGGACAACATCATCAAGTCCCAAGAGTATGTTAAATCTCCATGCACCTGCCTTCATTCCCAGAACGTCTCCAACTGTTGGTAATCAAAGTGCAGCAGCTGGAAGGTTGGTCCAAGCAGTAACAATATGTGATACAATGAATCAAATTGCAGTACCTGAAAGACCTGTTGTGCAGCAGCAACAAGGTAATCCAAATAAGTCAGCTAGCACTCCTACTGGTGATCGAAAGGCAGTAGAAACTATACAAACTGGACAGCAGCAAATCGTGACAACTATACCAGAGATTTCAGAAGAAGAAAGAAAGCTTTTAGAAGCAATGGTAAGTGCTAATCCTATAAACTCTTTAAATATGGTTACTGGCAGCACTGGTCGTGCAAGTAGAAGCAGGAAAAAATTGCAAACTCTAACACAACAACAAAAAAAGGAAATAGTAGCAAATACTAAGGAGGGAAATACGTTGGTGACACAAGGGTGATGGTCAAGAATTACCAAATATGGTGCTTGCGAGTAGAGATATATATGCAGAAGGGGAGGAAGATGACATTTTAAACCAATGCCAGGCAGAGGCAGCAAGAAAAGGTAATTTATCACCTATGCATAGTGGTAAAAGAAAGAAGTCACATACAAGAGAAAAAAGTTGGGACGGCAGGGTGATCGAAGATGCAAACGTAAGACGACTTCCAATGAGAACTGCCAAACAAAAGCAGATTACCCAAACTACATCTACAAAATCCAATCTTTCAAAGAAGAAAGCATGAAATTTGAAGACATAATAAAGAAGGTAGAGGATGAAGACAAGGAGATACAAATTGAAGATTTCACAACATTAGAGAAGAGAGAACATTACTGTTTTTTCTACATATTTTTATTCTACCATCACATTAGTATTGTTCTATGTAATATCATCACAAAGTATGTTATAAACTCTGTGATGATCATAGAATATCTAGTTCTAGCTAGTTCTTTCTTTTTACATGCATGCTAGTAGGAGAGGCCTTTTATTTGCCTCAATAGGATTAGTAAGGCAAGGTTTAGCCCAGTTTGTATTGATCTAGTCCTATGCCTTTGGAAAGATGTCCAAATGGCTATGAGATAATATATGCCCTCGTGAGACTTTGCCTGCAGCTACACCATGATTCCTCTACATGAGGCTGTCATAAGGGCATTGTGAGGCGCAGAGGAGTGATTATATAGCCAAGGCATAAAGACAACACTACTGGGCTATTGTTCCCCTTATTTGTACTCTTCCTATGTGGTTCTTTTTCTTTTTTAGTATTAATAAAACTAGCCCTAGGCACNCTAAAAATCGCCTTCCCCGAGCTCTAATTTAATTTTTCTAACTGATGAAAACTAACCCTCGAAATTTCTATATCTGCTCAGGGATTTCCGCTTCTGCGGACAAGGGACCGCTTCTGCGGTCCCGCTTATGCGGAAAATGAGTCGCTTCTGCGACTTTCACTAAAAATCCAATATCCGCTTCTGCGGACCAATAACCGCTTATGCGGTTCCGCCTCTGCGGAATATAAGCCGCTTCTGTGGTTCTGATGAAAATCGAAGGTTCCGCTTCTGCGGTTCCTTTCTCGCAGATGCGAGTCCGCTTCTGCGGGATTTCCTCCGCATCTGCGGAGCCTGAAAATTATGCCCAAACCTACTTCTGCGGTGCTAAGGCCGCTTCTGCGGCTCCGCTTCTGCGGCTCCGCTTCTGCGGTTCCCAAGTCGCAGAAGCGAATATACCAGAAGGGAAAAACTTCAGCTGCTGCAACACTTCTCAAATTTTGCCGTTAACCACCCTAAATCATCCCGAGGCCCCCGGGGCCCTAACCAAAAGCACCAATAACACCTAATACCTCATTCAAACTTGTACCAATCCCTAAACCACCTAAAACAACGCCGGAAACTCGAATTAAACAAGGATTTGAGCCTAAGAACTTCCAATTTTATCAAAATACACTTTCGATCAAAAACCTAACCAAAACACGTCCGAATGACCTGAAATTTTGCACACACATCCCAAATGACATGACGGCGCTACTGCAACTTCCGGAATTCCAATCCGACCCTCGGATCAAAAACTCACTATCGGACCGGAAACTTCAAAAATTCAAACTTCGGCATTTCAAGCCTAAATGAGCTACAGACTTCCAAAATACATTCCGAACACGCTCCCAACCCGAAATCGCCTAACGGAGCTAACGGAGCCATCAGATTTCCATTCCGAGGTCGTCTTCACATGGTTCCGACTATGGACCATTTTTCAGCACTTAAGCTCTCATTTAGGGACTAAGTGTCCCAAAACTCTCAAAAACTCAACACCGAACGTCTCGGCAAACCAAAATGGCAGAAATTGAACTTAGGGGAAGATGTTAATAGGGTATCGGGGCGTTAATTTGTAAGACGACTGGCCGGGTCGTCACAACATGCCGTGACTAGAGTCCGTGGGCCGAAGAAGCTATAACTCGGATAAGTGAGTCCAACAACTCAAGCTCGAACAACTCCGGCAATGAGCGGATCGACGAAGGAAGAATTATATGTGTATCTAGCCGACTGCAGAAGTAATGGTCCAAAGAATAGTATTGAGTGTAAGCCCAACACTTGTTGCAAAATTTTAGCCACTATGTTAAGCAATAAGATGAGTGAGTGTGAAAGTTTCTTCCTTTTTCTCTTCCCTTCATTTTCCATTATGCCTGCCAACATCCACAACTCTGCTTCTGCTCTACATTTCCTCAACATCTTAAGGGACGCTTTTGCCTCCTCCATACGCCCTTTCTTAATAAGAAACCTCGGGGTCTCACTAAGAAAGAAAGACAGTACAAGAAGTGACGCCACCAAAAACCCACTACTGGCAAAGGACCATCTCCAACCATAACGGAAGTTGTGAGATGCTGCCATGTTTACTGCTTTCGTGCTAGTACTTCCCCATAGCACCATAGAGCTTTAAGCAAGGAAATATTCATTTTGGTGCCTTTACAACATTGATCTCACTCAATATAATGGGAATCACCTGCAATATTGTAACTCGTTTAAGTGTGACATGCAATATGAAGCCCAAAATATTTAAAACTATATGTTATGATATTGCCTATTTCACAACATAGAAAATTCTAATAGTGGTTAGTTGGATAATACTAACCTTGCACACTCATATTTCCAACAACTAATTTGGCACAAACCAAAGGAAAAAAGATTAATCCTACATTAACTTATCATCCACGACCAGAGAATCGATATATTTCAAAGTAAATGAATTTTATTACGAATATTATATTAAGATAATTTATGAGCATACTAGAGAGATTAATGTTACTTGATTAATTTTTTCACAATAATAAAATAAATATGATATTTTAGTTGTTAAAGAAGTTAACAAACGAGTCATGTGCATTTTTTCCATCTGAAAGCACTACTAGGGTGAGGTATTATTTTTGCTTAATTTATTTTAGTAAAATTGATATATATAAAGAAAACCTAAATAAGAAAGAAATGATGAAGTAACTCTACTAAAATCTTACCTATACATGCCGAGACTAGAGTCCTCCGTCTGCCCAAAAAGCTGCAACTCGAATAAGTGAGTCCAAGAACTCAAGCTCTAACGATTCCGGCAATGAGCAGAGCGACGAATGAGGAACTAAAAGTGTATCTAGCTGACTGCAGAAGTAATGGTCCAAAGAATATTGTTGAGTCTAAGCCCAAACACTTGCTGGAAAATTTGAGCCACTATGTTAAGCAGTAAAATGGGCGAGTGTGACAGTTTCGTCCTTTTCCTCTTGCCTTCATTTTCCATCATGCTTGCCAACATCTACAGTTCTGCTTCTGCTCCATATTTCCTCAACATCTTAAGGGACGGTTTTTCCTCCTCCATACACCCTTTATAAATGATAAACCTCGGGGTCTCACTAAGCAAGAAAGACGGTACAAGAAGTGGCAAAGCCAAAAATCCACTACTGGCAAAGGACCATCTAAAACCATAACAGAAGTTGTGAGATGATGTCATGTTTGCTGCGTTCGTACTAGTACTTCCCCATAGCACCATGGAGGTATAAGCAAGGGAAATCCACTTTGGGGCCTTTCCAATTTTGATCTCTCTCAATATAATGGGAATCACCTATAAGATTGTAACTTGTTTAAGTGTGACATGCAATATCAAGCAAAAAAGATTTAAAACTATATATTTTGATGTTTCCTATTTCACAACATAGCAAAAGCTAATAATGGTTGGTTGGATAATACTAACCTTGAACACTCATATTTCCAGCAACTAATTTTGCACAAGTGTAACGACCCGGCCGGTTGTTTTGAGAGTTATAGCCCCAATCCCCTATTTACTGCTTTCCCCGTATCTGTTTTAGCTTATGTGACTTTTTGTTCTGGAGTGTCTTGGGACACTTAGTCTTTAAACAGAAGCTTAAGTCTTAGGACTTTTGACCGTAGTCAGAACTATGTGAAGACAACTCCAAAATGGGGCTTCGTCGATTCAGTTAGCTCCGTTGGGTGATTGTGGACTTAGGGGTGTGTCCGGATTGTGTTTTGGAGGTCTGTAGCTTATTTAGGCTTGAAATAACGAAAGTTAAATTTTTGGAGAATTTGACCGGTAGTGAAATTTCTGATATCGGGGTTGGATTCTGATTCCGGAAGTTGGAGTAGGTACGTACTATTGAATATGAATTGTGTGCAGAATTTGGGATCAATTGTATGTGGTTTGATAAGGTTCGGCATCGGTTGTAGAAATTTGAAGTTTCAAGTTCTTTAAGTTTGAATTGAAGGGTGATTCATATTTTTAGTGTTGTTTGATGTGATTTGAGGGCTCGACTAAGTTTGTATGGTATTTTTAGACTAGTTAGTATGTTTGGTTCAGGATCCGGGGGCCTCGGGTGTGTTTCAGATGCTTAACAGATTGAGTTTTGGACTTATGCAATTGCTGAAGCTATCTGAGTTCTGGTGTTTTCGCACCTGCGGTGGGGAGACCGCATGTGCAGGATCGCACATGCGGAGAGGAGAGCGCAGAAGCGGAAAGGAGAGGAGCTTGCAGGGGTCGCAGGTGCAAAGGCAGTGCCGCATCTGCGATCACCGCAGAAGCACTTAACGACCCGCAAGAGCAGACCCTTTCTTCGTAGATGCAGACCCAGCCCTTTAAGTCATTTCAGCACCTGTGATGGGAATTCTGCAGGTGCGCATCGCATGTGAGATTCTTGGCCCGTAGATGCAAAATCGCTGGGTAGAAAAGGGTTAAGTTCGAGGGTTTGATTTCATTCTCCATTGCTGGACCTAGAGAGCTCGGATTGAGGTGAAATTTTGAGGGTTTTTCAGAGGAAGCCTGTGGGTAACAATTCTTAACTATTTTATGGTTATATCTCATTAATCTATAGTTGATTCCACCATTTGATTAGAGATTTGAGTTGGAAATTGGGGGAAAATGGTTAAACTTCCTAGACTAAGTTTTTGAGATTTGAAAGGCGATTTGAGGTCGGATTTGAGAAATTCTTGTTGTCGCGCCCCCTTTTTTTCCCCTTTTTGTGGGGAAAGTCCGGGTTTCGACATTCATGGGGGAACAACTTGTTTCCTTTTGGGAATTGGGTATTTGAAGAGGCGCCACCTAACGGATTATGGTGCGTTAGGGCACCTAGAGCGATTAACTCTTGTGACTAATTTACATTACCAGAGATTAGGGTAAGGGCTCGAAATAACCTTGAGGGAAGGTGTTAGGCACCCCTCGCGGTCCACAATGGTGGGTCCCGATCGAACTTAAACTATAATGAAAATGTCAATTAACAAGCAAGCAACTATTTGCAAATAAAGTGGCTTTCCCCATCTAAATGCATATATAGTCAAGGAAGTTTAAATAATGAAGGTAAAGAGATTTGGACAGCTTATGCATACGTAAAGAAAAGGAAGTTTAGAGAATTTAAACACAAATGGATTTGGGAAAGGGAAGTCCTAGCTTGATTAGCCTATAGGATCATACCCATGCAATGCCTGGTAATCACTCCTCAATGAGAGGGGATACACGTGACATTAACGCGCAGATCATCAGATCCTTTTACTACCCATTACCCTCCTCTTAGTGGTTATATGAGCGAGTTTAATTAATGACCACTAAGCGTGTTGCTACCCGTCCCTTCCTTATGGTCCTGGAGGAATTTTGGACCTCTAAACCTGGAGAGTTCTAGACAGCCTAAGGTTTGTAAAAGGTAAAAATCTAGGCGATAGGCAAATAACATATAGGACAAACAAATAAGGACAAGCAGTTAGAAGGCTCACATTTACCTCCGCATGTATATAGGCAATCAAACAGCACGTCTAAAACACAGGTTTTGAAGAAAGTTCAGAAATCCTAAGAACATGGCATCTAGATGAATGTTACAGATTCAGGATATGCATAAGGAAAGTGGTAGGATCCTAACCAGTTTGCCTACTGGTTATATAGCATGTTAAGCTAGGATAATCTCACATATAAACATAATTGGCTTCACAGTTATTTAACGCCCTAAGGTTTGCCTAAGTGCGTATATGCAGTCATAATTCTGGAAAACATTTTGAAGTCCTTTATCCTATAGGCATGCTTTCTAGTGATATTAATTAATATAGTGTTGAAGACTATTAAAGAAACGAGTAGGATAATTAATTAAACCGATTCAGAACCTATAGGCTTGAGTTCTAATTAAACCGATTTTAGATCCTATAGGCATGATTTCTATAATTAAAGCTGATTTTAGATCCTATAGGCATGATTTCTAAAGAGAGAAATTTGAATATATGTTGTAATGGAAACTAAACCTTAGTTATTTTATTCTATATAGGCATGGTGTCTAATCATGTTAAGTAAAGCAGGCAGAACTTATTTGACCAAAGCAAAACCCTATTGGCATATTATCTAACAAAACACATTTGAACCAAAACGATCCCTATAGGCATGTTATCTAACAAAACACATTTGAACCAAAACGAACCCTATAGGCATGTTATCTAACAAAACACATTTTAACCAAAGTAAAACCTATAGGCATGTTATCTACCCAACTTTACCCATAGTATACAACTACCCTCTATTTTCACTAGTCACCCCAATATCTGTTTACAATTATTTATTACAGACAAATTATTGAATAAAAATTACATAAATAGAGGATAAATTAAGCTATAAGGAGCCTGAACTAGGCCCAAAGAAAATCCTGGTGCACTAGGCCTTCACTAGTCTCAAATGCCTAAGATTCATCGCCACATTTGTCGAGGTGTGTCATAGTTCCCTAAGGACCTCAAGGATCCCGTGCACTGCTCACACCCAGACTTTCTCAAATATAGACTGATTATGTGCAGTGTGAAAGAGCCAGCCCTGATATGCCAGAGTTTAGAGATCTCAGGGACCTCTAAGTAGTACACATACCAGGGGGGCATGACTTAATAAGCTAAGAATAAGTGAGAGTGCTTGACATGATTTGAAAGAGTTTTGGTAAACAGTATGAAGAGGGTTCTTAGAAATGAATAGACTTTTTGAAAAACTAGTACTAATTTGGAGGTAAAACAACTTAAGAAAAGGATGGAACACACTTTTAGTCAAATACAAATCACAGAACAACCATTATTCAGAAACACTTGGCTAGCAGGTTTCACACAAGGAGAGAGGGGTTGGGGACACATAGAGTACACCTTAGTGTATAATGGAGCACATAAACAACAGGGTGCATAGACTTCTCAAGGGGTTCTACAGAATTAACAGGTTAGCTATAAGGTAGGTCATTCCAACATAGAGCAAGGATCACAGTTAAAGCTAAATTGAAAACACATGAACACTGGACAGAACCAACTATACAACTTAGAGTTTCTTAAAGGACTAGATGACTTAACATGAGCAAAACAGAATGGGCCAGAACCTGAATGGACAGGCTAGGCAAATA